CTGGAACTGGAGTAGTCCGGAGTTGGGTGCAGTGAGCTGCTGCGGAGAGTGAGGGGTGACTCTGAGCAGTGGGCCTAGCCAGGGGTGGCTCTATGTTTTTTGCCACCCCAAGCAAGGCATGCATTTGGCCCTTGGCGGCACGTCTGCGGGCAGTCCTCTGGTCACGCAGATTCAGCGGGGTTTCTGCGGGTGATCTGTCGGTCCCGCACCTTCAGCGTACCTGCTGCTGAATTGCCGCCAAAGCTGCGGGACCAGTGGACCTCCCGCAGGCATGCCACCGAAGGCTGCCTGACTGCTGTCCTCACAGCGACCGGCAGGCCACCCCCCCAAGGCTTGCCGCCCCAGGCACATGCTTGCTGCGCTGGTGCATGGAACCGCCCCTGGGCCCAGCGCAGGGAGATGCCACCAGTCAAGAGGCATTGCAGGCCTAACTGGGAGAGGGATTGTAACCCCTATGGGGGGGCAATACTGGGAAGCAGGGTCCTGCCACTTAGAACCTGAAGGTGTGTGGCCACCGCCAAAGCAAGTGTCTGACCTGCAGCATCCCTGCAGCACAGCTAGGGCCTGGGCAGGAGGCCTGGGACATGTGAGGAACAGTCTGTGAACTTCCCTTATATTCCAGCTATGGCTGTTTGGGATTCCCCCATGCCACAGAGCGGGGTTGTGTTTTTTCCTTTAACCTTTCCCATTTTTCCTTTTATTTTTAATTGATCATTGTTTAATAAATTGTATTTGCTTGAAATATATGTGATGATCAGTGGGTCAGGGAAGTGTCCAGAGCAGAAAGAGTACCATGGAGTGGGTACACCCTAGCCCCTGCCCTAAGTGAACACAAAAAGGTTGGGGGTCGAGCCCCCCAGGAATTTTGGGCCCAGCCTTGTTGGGGTTTTGAGGACTCTGCCACACAGGAGAGTGGAAGGGGAGCCCTCGAGGTCAGGCAGACCTCTGGGTAAAGGAAGTGGGAGCAAGGACTCGGATCCTTTCACTAGCCCATTTCAAGGGGGTAGTGTATAAACCAGAAAATTTCCCAACAATAGCGGGTCCAGTTCCCCACTTACACATTCACTCTCTGGCATCTGGTGTATTTCTATTTCAAAGGAGAGTACAGATGAATAACCAGCAAAGCTGAGAGCCCACAGAATATGTTTCATACCTACTAACACCTTGAAACACAGGGTCAGAGTTGAAGCAAGCAGCCAAAGCCTATCTACCCTAACACTCTTAATGGCCATAGAGGAGGTTAATAGGACCAGAACCCAGATCTTCTGGTCTAGCACCATATCCAAGGTACATTGCTGCTGCCAGCTGAGCAGAAATGCTTAAATGGGTGTGCAGAACACACACTTAATAGAACACAGCCCATCCCCCAAAGAACTCACAGTCACATAGACAAGGCAGAGAGAGGGAAGGAGGGGATACAGAGGCACAGGGAGAGGAAGCGACAGGCCTAGGGTCACACAGCAGGTTAGTGGCAGAGCTAAGAATAGAACCCAAGTCTCCTGATGGCCACTGACATCAAATCACAGAGGGAAACAATACAACATAGAAGTTACTGAGCGACACATTATATAGATGGTCACAGATTCCAAATCCAGAAGGGATAAAAACACAGGTCAGAGAACTTCCCCCATAAAATTCCTAGAGCAGATCTTTTAGAAAAACATTCAACCTTGATTTAAAAATTGACAGTGATGAATAATTCACCATGACCTTTGTTAAATTATCCTAATGGTTAATGAATCTCACCATTAAAAAATTGTTTTATTTCCAGTGTGAATTTGTCTAGCTTCAATTTCCAGCCATTGGATTATGTTAGACCTTTTCGTGCTAAATTGAAGAGCCTGTTATTAAATATTTGTTCCACATGTAGGTACTTACAGACTGTAATCAAATCAACTCTTAGCCTTGTAGCCAATGATTTTAGTTTATTATCCATTTATTGTGTGAAGTTATGATTAATCAACATTTTATATCATATATATTCATTGTATGTTAAGTAGAGTTAATTTGTAGGATTATAGAATTAAAAGACTAATCATTATTTAGAGGAATCATGTCATAGATGTAAGTAAGAGAAGCTGAAATGCAAGAACCTGTATGCTAAAGTCTGCAAGATTTTAGATTAGCTATTTTAGGCCTTGGAGACAAGAAATGATGACATAAATCAATGAATAAGAAATAACCTGAATGATTATGGGAAAAGAGGTACTGTCATGAACATACAGCTAAGGGTAGCATAAAATCCCTCCTTTACCTGTAAAGGGTTAAGAAGCTCAAATAACCTGGTTGGCAACTAGACAAAAGGACCAATAAGGGGAGAAGAGACTTTCAGATCTGTGGGGGAAGGTTTTTGCTTTGTGCTGTGGGTGTTGTGTGTTCTCTCTGAGACAAAGAGAGAGACCAAGCAAGTAATCCAGCTCCTACTGAAATGATACATCTAATATTACAGAAATAGTAAGTATAGCAAGGAAATGCATTAGATCATCTTTTGTTTTAGCTTGTGAATTTTCCCTGTGCTAAGAGGGAGGTTTCTTCCTGTTTTTGTAACTTTAAAGTTTTGCCGAGAGGGGAATCCTCTGTGTTTTGAATCTGACTGCCCTGTAAAATTACCTTCCATCCTGATTTTACAGAGGTGCTTCTTTTACTTTTTCTTTATAATAAAGTTCTGTTGTGACAGAGTAACCTAGGTGAGCACCGACCAGCCCCTTGGCTTTTTAGGGCATTAAAAACCAATCAGGTTTTTAATGCCCTAAAAAGCCAAGGGGCTGGTCGGTGCTCACCTTGGTTACTCTCAAGTCTCCAGAGGAAAGGGGGTAAAGGGGCTTGTGGGGATACGTTGGGGAAACAGGAACTCCAAGTGGTCCTTTTCCTGAATCTTTACTAACTCACTTGGTGGTGGCAGCAGTACCCATTCAAGGATAAGGAAGGATTTGTGCCTTGGGGAAGTTTTTAACTTAAGCTGGTAGAAATAAGCGTAGGGGGTCTTTTATGCAGGTCCCCACATCTGTACCCTAGAGTTCAGAGTGGGGAGGGAATTCTGACAGGTACCAACTGGTAATATTGTGAAAGTTTAGATGGGAAGATTAAATATAAATTATAAAATGCTGTAACAGCAAATATTGTCTCTAACATGTGTTTTAACCACAAGATAAAGGTGGTACATCAATGTTAATGAGAACCTACCCAGCCTATCAAATATGGGGTTCCTTGTGTTTCTAGGGGACACAGACTAATAAGAAAGAGAGGGTTGACACTTTCATGTACATGCACAGAATGTAAGTACAGACAGACTCACAGTATAAAAAGGGGTGCTCAGAGCAGGAAAACTGAGCTTCCTATGGGAAACTCCAGCAGGAACCACCCCCATATTTATGATTAATCCATGAGAGAGTCAACAGACTCTAACACCATCTAGGAGGTTGTGAGTATGTCTGTAGTTATAACTGGTACATGATACTTATCTTTGGGAATTGTATATGCTGTGCCATTTATAACTTTATTGGTAACTTTAATAAAAGTTAAATAGAATGACCGGGGTCATTCTATCTACTACCTAAGATCCACAAACCTGGAAATCCTGGACGCCCCATCATCTCGGGCATTGGCACTCTCACGGAAGGACTGTCTGGATATGTGGACTCCCTTCTCAGACCCTACGCCACCAGCACTCCCAGCTATCTCCGTGACACCACAGATTTCCTGAGAAAACTACAATGCATTGGTGACCTCCCAGAAAACACCATCCTAGCCACCATGGATGTAGAGGCTCTCTACACAAACATCCCAAATACAGATGGAATACAAGCTGTCAGGAACAGTATCCCTGATGATGACACAGCACAACTTATTGCTGAGCTCTGTGACTTTATCCTCACGCACAATTATTTCAAATTTGGTGACAATATATACCTCCAGACCAGTGGCACCGCTATGGGCACCCGCATGGCCCCACAATATGCCAACATTTTTATGGCTGACCTGGAACAATGCTTCCTCAGCTCTCGTCCACTCATGCCCCTTCTCTACGTACGCTATATTGATGACATCTTAATCATCTGGACCCATGGGAAGGAGACCCTGGAAGAATTCCACCATGCTTTCAACAGCTTCCACCCCACCATCAACCTCAGCCTGGACCAATCTACACGAGAGGTCCACTTCCTGGACTCCACCGTACAAATAAGCGATGGCCACATTAACACCACCCTATACCGAAAACCCACCGACCGCTACGCCTACCTTCATGCCTCCAGCTTCCCCCCCCGGACACACCACACGATCCATCGTCTACAGCCAAGCACTGAGGTACAATCGCATCTGCTCCAACCCCTCAGACAGAGACCAACA